CTTCCTGATTATCATACAATAAAAGGCTTTCTGATTCAAAGAGTACACAGCAGACTATTTTGCCCTCAAGAGCAGCTTATACAATATATCTGTACTGTACTCATTTACGTAGAGCAGACCTGTCAAACTCAGGCCCAGGGACCAAATGTGGCCTGCAATATAATTATACTTGGCCCACGAGATCATGCTACATGATCCGGCTACAGATTATATGGCTATAGAGACATTATTTATTTAAAATTTTGTCATTATTTTATTACACATTTATTTTAATAAGAAAAGGTTTAACATTACATATCTTGAAAGAAGAGAAAACATGCAGATGGTGTTGAAATTTTTTCATTTTTTTAGTTTGGCCCACGAGTTAGTCCCAGTTTTTAATTTTGGCCCTTTTGGAATTGGAGTTTGACACCCCTGACATAGAGCATATAGTCATAGTCCAATATAAAGAACTTTTAAAACATTTTGGTACTAAAAGAATATTGAACTATGAAGTTATTCACAATTTACAATTTAAAAAGGGGTTCATTTTTATGGATGTACTTCATGTACTATATCAACACAATACAGAAAAGTTCACTGGATTGGGTATTGGTTCATGATACTGGTTCAGCTAACACCTTGACTGTGCCTTTAGTTGGATGAAATAAGACTATTTACAGACTGATTTGAACCTTTTATTCATACAAAGCTGTTCAGTAGTTATTTGCAGAATCAGTAACAGTTACATAACACAGTTGAATCTCTTGTATAACACGTTAACTGTGTTTCAAGGAAATAAGTGCCTTTTTCCATCCCTACACTAGATCAGTAAAAAGATACAATAAAAACAATCGATATAAAAACTGAAAAGCTGAATCGGTGCATCCCTAATAATTCTGCACCAAGACATTGTTCTCTTTTTACTGATGCCAAACTGTAAAGTGCTCCTCGCTCATGGTGCGTAAAAGCAGGGCTAATAAACCCCGGCCTGTGTGATCCAGGTGATCATTGTGACATTTCACTTTTGTCACAGCGCCCCCTCCACTAACTCCTCTTCCTCCTTATCACACTCTGTAATAGCAGCATGACATTTTGAGCGCTCTCACGGAAGACACAGAGAAGATATTTCCCCCGGTACTGAGTTAACCAGCGTTTCAGACTACATAGTGATATAGTGTAATAAAGTCCAATATTCTTCATCATTTTTTCTCCTTTACATGGCCCCTAGGACTCGACAGCCCTCCTCTCCTCCTCCTCACGATGCTCATAATAACATCAGATGGATATGAAAGTCATAATTAGTGCTGGTTGAAGTCTGTTGGAGGAGCGGACCTGCCTGTGCCCTTGGGACGTGTAACTGGGATTGTCGACAGTAATAAGTCAGCTAAAAATAGAATAGGCAATTATAATGGATCACAGGTAGAGAGAGAAGTCACTCAGTATCAATCTGAAGTTTACACAAAGTACGTCTGAAGTCATTTTTCTCGTCTTAAAGGAAAAACACTATGTAATGTATCTGGTCACTCTGTTCCACCTTGTGATGTCATGTGGTAATACAGGAAGTGCTCCACTGTCTTACCTTCACTAGAATTATTTGGATCATTCCAGACCTGCAATTGCCAATCTCTATTCAGTCAAATGTAAAAGGAGCTGTTCACTTGAAAACTACACCACTACATGACATCACAAGGTGGAACAGAGCATTTTGAGCTTTGGAGATGCAGATAAATAAAAAGAGTTACTCAAACATGTGTGAATGAAACAAAACACAACTCCAGCTATATTTTTGAGGAGGTGACAACATTACAACATGACTAAAAGCTCACTAGAGTCAATTTTGTATAATATAGAACCTTTAAAGAAAACATGTGCTTTTGTGTACTTTAGGTTTATGACACTCATGGCTCATTATGTTATACTTTGGACATTTGAAATCACAATGCTGATCAAATAAATCTTAATAAAAAAGAAACAAGTCTGCTGACTTCCGGGTTGGATTGTGATGTCACTATAACAAATTTTGAAGTGTGATAATGTAGATGATAAACAATAACAGTGAAATGAATTTATGCCACTGACACAAAAACCCTATCTGGATTCATCAGACGGTTTCCACGAAGTCGCTGCTATTTGGTCATGATGTATGTATGTATATTAAACTTTTCCCAAATCTTGTAGGAAGAAGGGCAAAAATGTCTTTCCCCTTGATAAAATTCACCAAACATTCTCTTTGTTCCGGCTTTAAATCCTCGATCTCGAGAATCATTGCCAACACAGAATGTATGGCTTTGTCTACATCCATCTCGACCGCTTTGTTTACTGTTGTGCTGTACCACAAAAGGAACCCAGATAGATGCTTGAGTTTGATGCCATGGCTTCACAGTTCTTTGCTGATTTGCCGGTGTGCAGTCTACAGCTTCCAGGCTTCTTTCAAACCGTCTAGTGCAAGGGTGTCCAAACTTTTTTCATCAAGGGCCACATATCTAAACACAGACGAAGCAGAGGGCTGATCGAGGGCCATGGACTGGTGCGCAATTGATAACTGACAATTGAAATATGTGCATGTTTAACACGTTAGAATGAGCCATCAGTCATTTATTCACGTTAAGATTCTCAAAACCACACACTAAATACTAAATATTAGATTTATCAAGGTAGATTTAAAAAAAAAAAAAAAAAAACTTGCAATAAAAAGTTATTTTTTCATTGATGCAAGGTAATTTGGGCCAATTCTCCTAGAAGCCTGAGGGCCAAGAAAAAATTTGTCTGAGGCCCGCATTTGACCCACGGGCCATAGTTTGGTCATTACTGATCTAGTGTATTCCAATTCCTGAACTAGTCACTGGTTGAATACAAAAACCCAAGAGCAGATTCAAACCACAGAAACTATTCTAAATGCACAATATTGAAGAAAAAAAAAAAAGCAAGCTACAATAAATAAACAGAAGAATGAACACGTTTTAGTACTTCTATAACTAAGACTTATAGAAATGATCAATTCAACCTTTTAACTTTTAGCTTAAATGTTATCATATAGTCAAAAAATTACCACAAATTTCCCAGTAGTGCAGAGAAAATGTACACAGAATATAGTGACCCCCCCAAAAAATACTGTTCCAGCGTTCATAAACTGATAAGTCGAGATAGTAATTATGGCGACAGGCCCAGTCATCACAACAAATTGCCACCCTGCTGGACCACGCTCTGTACATCATTCTAGCTGTGCCAAAATGACTATGTGACAATGCCCATCACTTTATCACAGATTAAGGAAATATAATTAGAGAACAAAGTCAGAAAAGAGCAGTGGGCGTCGGTGAATAAAGATCACTCAAACATGCATGAATCACAAAACAGCCTACACTTATAATAGTCCACCTTTAATATGCTTTGCCTGAACTCTCCCACAATACAAGTTTCCCAAAGTATTATTCACCAATTAAGACACCAGTAATTAAGTAAAAGCAAGATAGATAGATTTAAAACCATATTGTGGAACATTACAGGGAAAGCAGCAACATCTCCATGAACACAAGATGATGGCAAAAGCTTCATAAGAACATTTGCATATAAACAAAGGAACACAAACGGTTAGATAGAAAAAAAAAAAAAAAAACAGAACCAGAAAAACAAAAATAAAATGGAATAAAAGAGTGCAGATATAGTAACATTACCATACATCAGGGGCATAACAGAAAAAGTGCAGAGGGCGATGAGAAAACACAATATTAACACATCAATGAAACTGTACAGAAAACTCAGGCATTTACTCGTCCACCCAAAAGACACAATAGAATCGGAGAATAAATGTAATGTCTTCATGTTCTGCAATAAAAGACACATTGGGGAAACAGGGAGGGTGTTCAGTCCACACAAAAAAAGGAACATAGAACAGAATGCAAGAAGGAAACAGCAAAGGCATGCACATGAGCAACAAAACACAAAGCAGAACAGGAACAACTCAAATCGGCCATCTCTGACCACTGAAAAAGAGTGAACCACGTTATGGATTTTGACAGAGCAAACCTCATTGGGACAGAGGAAAACAAACACCGTCGCTGGATTAAAGAGGCAATCGGAATATGGAAATGTGTCCATGGGACGATAAACCGGGACAAGGGGGGCTTTTTTACTCTCACACACCTGGGATATTGTCCTGAGGAAGTTGGACTGCAGATGGTGCTGTCATCCTGCCTCCACCGGTTGGAAGACAGCGCCAAAACCTGCTTAAAACAGCAGACTGGACGTCACAGAAACATCACGCGACCACTCTGAGGAAGACTAGTGAGCAGTCGAAACTGTCAGGTACAAAAACAAACTCTTGGTCAGAAAAAAGGAAGTGCTCCACTGTGTTTTAAAACTCTCTTCACTAGAATTATTTGGATCATTTCAGACCTGCAATTGCCAATCTCTACCCAAACAAGTGTAAATGAAACACAGTATATTTTGACAAAAGAACCTAATAACATAAATAATCACAAACTGAACCGCATTGGACTACTTCATAAGAAAAGTTACATGGTGTACCTTTAAAGATAATCTAATCTAATTTTTGGTTCAGTTAACACAGTTTAATGAGCTAGAAAGAAGAAAATGTGTTGTGAATTTGTGGATTATGTTTTGCTTACGTTACTGTGCCATTTATTTTTGCAAAGTTGGCATACCTCTTTGTTAAAAATAGCCTGCAGAGCAGTTAACGTTAAAATCAGTACGTTTTCATGTTCTGCGTGAAGATTTCCAGATTTCCACTAACATCTCTCTTGTTCTCTCGAGGGGTCACGTCGGTGGAGCACGCAGAGCCTCTCTCATTTGGGGGAGGAGCCTTCGGCGCTGGGACCGTGTGCACAGAGCGGTCCTGTCCAAAGCGTCAGGTCCCCCGGTCGCGAGGAGGACACGAGCTCCGCTACACCTGTGGACAACGTGCAGGGATTTATCGCTTTAAGACGCGCGGGTTCGAGTGAATTAAGAATGAGCATAGCCACGTGGAAACCTGGCCCCACATAGGTAAAGCGAGTGGTTTTTCGTGTGCTTGTTTTGCTTTGTCTTTGGATGTACCGCTGTGCGTAATGATGCCCTGAGAACACCACGGTTCAGGTGCGTAAAAGGAGACAGCGCGTGGACGCCTTTACCTTTCCTTCAGGAGCTACACAGGAAGCTGCCGTATCTCTCATCTATGGGGCTCCGTTTGGCTTTGAACCCATTGTCCTACCCTTAAAGCAACTTTTAAGTGATGTATGCTCTGTAGATGAAACGGCGCGCAATCTCAAAGACCGACCGAAGCTGCTCTTTTTCTTTTTCTACTCCTGATTCGCTTTATGTTTGGCAGGATAAAGCGAATGGGAATTACAATGCATCACCTCGCAGCGGTGGTCTTTATTCTGACCGTGACTGGCATCGCTAAAGGTAAAATGAGATTGGAAACATTTTCACACACTTTATGAAACGCGTAGTACTACTGCGTAAAATTATTTTGATCGTTGAATTTGTTTTTGTGAATTTTGCTTGTACTAAAATTGGGTTCTGGTTACAGGATGGGAGTGCAGCCCAGCATGCAACACGGAGAATGGGTTTTGTGAGAAGCCAGGAAAGTGCAGGTGCGTGGATTTAGCGGGCTTATTCTCATATCTTAGAACTGGCACACATTCAGAAGAGTCTGACATGAAAGGACAAGGTGGATTTGGGACTGTTTCCAAATGGGCTCACTGTCAAATCAGTGATCAATTTTCTTTGTTCATTCTGAAATTTAGAAAAACAACCTGCCTTTGTTTACAATAGGCTATGTGAAAAGGGGCTTCACGGCTGATAACATTAAGGTGGATCATATAAATGTCATTGAGGCTATAGGTCACCAGTTGGCTGTAAACATCTCTAGATGGTTTAAAATTGGTTCCTTATTCATATTTTATATCTTACAATAAGTCATGTTCTCTGCTCGTTTGAATACAGGGCACTTAATGTAATATTGCAGCTTTTAAAATACGTTTGACCTTTCACATTTGTGAAATATTCTACCTTTGTGACTAATCATGCATTTGTACAGAGAGCACTGTGCTAAAACATGGACTTTCCTTTTCACTGATACTACCTGAATTATCTGTGTGGTGCCCTCTGATGTAACAGAAGGTATTGAACCATTTTTAACTGAAGAATTAGCAGCATGGCCATTGTTGACACGACACAAGAGATGGTGTTTATTTGAGTGTTGAATTCTTGGTCTGTTTAACACCTGTGGACTTTAAAAACACAGAGGAGCCCTTCTTTGTTGTGTGTTATGTGTTTTAGAAGTAGGTCTGTAGAACATTACAATTTAAGTAGGTGCAATTATCAAATCTCAAATACTATGTATTTATTTATTTATTTATTTATTTAGGTAATAGAATGTCCACTATAAATGACAAAATATCCTATATTAAAAAAAACCAAACACATTTTTAGATCTCTATAAACATGTTCTGAAATACATGGAATTCTTTAATTACTTCAGCAGTTCAGTCTTTGAGCTAATGTTAATGTTGGGTGTGTTTTTGAATCTTACTTTAGTATTCATAAATTGTAAATCTAACCACAAGCACAATACTTTTCTAAAAAAAAAATAAAAAAAAAAAAAATCACATTTCTTTCTTAAATTGTGCAACCCTATTTAGAGGTGAAATTGATACATAGAGTTTCCATGTTAAATATCATTTAATTCTATGAGAGAAAAACTAGAATTGTGAATCAACCCTTGTAAACACACACAGAAAACCTACTGATCTACAGCAAGCCCAGTCCCCCACCGCCTGCTTGGAGCGCATGCACTGACAGCACTGTTGCCACTCGGCTCTGTGGGTGGGGTATTAATAGTTCACCGTCACTCCACTTGTGTTTAGGTGCAAACCCGGATGGCAGGGGGAGAACTGTGACCGGTGCGTGGCGTTCCCCGGCTGCGTGCATGGCTCCTGCGAGAAGGCCTGGCAGTGCGTGTGCGAGGAGGGCTGGGTGGGCAGCCTCTGTGACCAAGGTGAGTCTGGTACACGGAGTGGATCATACTAAACTATTATCTGGTTTATTCTCACGTCTTAGAACTGGCACACGTTCAGAAGAGTCTAACTTAAAAGAACAAGGTGGATTTGGGACTGTTTCCAAATGGGCTCACTTTCAAACCAATTATCAATTTTATTTGTTCGTTTTGAAATTCAGAACCCCCATGTTTACTTTTTAAAGCGAGGTTTATAGAGTCATTGAGGCTACCGTGGGAGGGGGTCACCAATTTGCTGTAAATATCTCTGCGTGGTTCCTTATTCATATTTTATATCTTACAATAGACATGCTTTATGTTCGTTTGAATACAGGGCACTTAATGTATGATTGCAGCATTTAAAATACATTCAAACTGTTCACATTTGTTAAATATACTAACATTTGTGACAAATAATGCATTTGATCAGAAACATGGACTTTCCTTTTCACTGAGAATGCCTGGATTATCTGTTTGCTGCCCTCTGATGGTAACAGAGGGTATTGAAACATTTTTAATTGAAGAATTAGCAGCGTATGACAGGGTAGATGACTCATTTCACTAAAACACACTTTCTAGTTAAGATTTGAATACAAATTTGACATTTTCTTCCCCAGTTTGACCATTTATTAGGTTGAAAATTTTACTTCAGGATCACACTAGGGAATTCCATAACTGTTACCTAGCAACCGTGTAGTAGATTAAACCAAAATCCCTCTATTGTACACAGAAATTATTATTTGTCAAATAAAAATATAAGAAAACACATTTATTTTTCTGAAATAATGTTTAAACTGTCAGAAAAAATAAGTTTCTTGTGTGTAAATTACAATCCAATTACTTCTTTGTTAGGTATTATCCCACCAAATTATATCCAAATTAGAGAATAAACAAAATGCACTAAAGCGTACGCACCAAAGCCTATAGTTCGTCGCAGTGGTGTTTTACTGTAATGCAGACTGGGGGCATACAGACGGCAGAGGCAGAGGCAAGGACGCCCTCTGTTCAGGATAATCAGGTCACTTCTATAGGAGACGGTCAGTGGGTAGTTACCTCTGTCTCTTGCTCAAGGACTCAGCTAAATGTAGATGTGGCGTTTCATTTGGGCATGTATCTATCAGTCACTGTGAAGTCAAGAGTATGAAGGTCGATGCTGTATCATAATTCATCTTACACGGACCTCTATTAAGATGTCACTGCATTGAAATCGCTGCCATGATTTTGCCCTTGGATTTATTGTGCGTAACACCATTGTTTTTTTGTCACTCATTTTTTATTGAAAATTTTGCACAATAATAAACAAAAGCAAGTACAGTGAGCTAGGAATTTTACATAAGTTTGCATGAAAAATATCACTCTGGAATTGTACGCATACTAGGGATGTAACAATTAGTGCTGTCATGCGTTTAAAAAAATTTAGAGATTAATTAATTATGATCTGTAATTAATTAATCTAATTAATCTCTTTTTAATCTCACCTAAAAATGCTGAGAAAAGCCTTCAATTTGAGGTATTTTCATTTAAATTCATTATTACATTATTGTGGCAGATCAAAAGACTGATATAGATTTTAAAAAGTGACTTTATAAAGTCATTTATTGTTTAACAAATCTCTCCAAATTGTCTGTTGAGCCCAAGTCTCCATGAATTAGAAACTGTTTGCTGTAAAGTAGCAAAGACGAGGAAATCTGAACATAATAACTTTTGTCTACTTAAAGACAATAAAAAGTCCAGTCTTTCCTTAACCAGATTAAAAATATTATTGATAGAGAAATGCTTTATATATGAGATCACTGGTTTTAGTCCTTGTTTTAGTCCTGGTTTAGACCTGCTTTAGTCCTACTTTAGTCCTAGTTTAGTCCTGGAATGGGTTAGTCCTGGTTTTAGTCCTGGTGTTAGTTCTGGTTTAGTCCTGGTTTAGACCTGGTTTTAGTTCTGGTTTTAGTTCTGGTTTTTAGTTTCTGGTTTTAGTTCTGGTTTTAGTTTCTGGTTTTAGTCCTGGTTTTAGTCCTGGTTTAGTCCTGGTTTTAGTCCTGGTTTTAAGTTCTGGTTTTAGTTCTGGTTTAGACCTGGTTTAGTCCTGGTTTAGTCCTGGACTGGTTTTACGTTAGTTCTGGTTTAGGCTCACGGGAGCACGTCGGTGTCCGAGCAGTAACTATGGAAAGAAACGTGGTCCGCGCGTTCTCAGGTTAATGACGATGATGAAGGTGTGTGTTTGTGTGTGTTGTTTTCACCAGTGACATTTAAGTTGTAGGCGATTTTATATTTGTTATTTTCTTTTATATTTCACATCGGGAGAATAATTTCCAAGACACGAATGCATTTTTACCTGTGCACTGCTGCCTCTGTTCTACTGGCTCTTCGACCTCGTCCATTGTGTGACTGACGCCGCCAACATGAACATAACGTTTACATCGCTCTTACTGCGCGCGTTTTGTGTGGGTTTCCGGCAATGAGTGGAATTACCGAAATTAAAAAAATTATAAATGTGTTTTTGTGTGTGTGTGTGTGTGTGTGTTGTTGTCCCAACAACACATAAAAACAGGTTTTATAATAAAGCAACACTCATACAGAAACAGTAAAGTTAGAGATTAAAAATTAGATTAACGCGATTAAAAAACATAACGCGCTAAATATGACTGTAATTAATTAATCGCAATTAACGCGATAATGTGACACCCCTAGTAACAATAACCGAAATATAGTGATATCGTATTGTCAAAAGGCTCACAGTAATATCGTGGGGCATCACAATATATCGAATTACAAGTTCCTTTGCTTAAATGCATGGTTTTATAACAGCAACATCTTATAAACCTAGAGAACTACATATCCCATGATTAATTTCAGTGCAGACAACATGAAGAAATATGTTTTTGACTTGAATTCTTGGGATTATGATGGAAATAATTCACACCAAAATCTTATCAAGGTACGATTGTTTACTCCGTCTTGTGTAATAAACATCATCTTGAAGCGTTAACACGTATGTCAAATGCTCCATTTTCTGAGTTTCTTCAGTTAATTTGAACCGATCCTCTAGTAAAGGTGGGTCTGGTTGAAGCCATTTGCGTTAATTCAATCGTTTTTGTTCTGGATTTCAGTTTTGATATAATGCACGTCTTTAATTTCAAAATCTCATTTCACGCTTTACCTTTATGGACCCCCAAGCTGCAGACGTCACTTGTTTACAGTACAGGGCTGAAGAATAGGCCTGTCCCCATAATTACTCGACTTATCGTTCAACATATGAAAGCTGGAACAATACTTTTGGGGTCAGTATTTATCATGTGTACATTTCCTTGCTTTACTGAGGAATTTGTGGTTATTTTTTGGATATATAATAAGATTTAAGTTGGTTTAAATAAAAGGTTGATTTAAAAACTTCATTTTACTCTTTATTTATTGCAACTTGGGGTTTTTTTCTTAACACTTTAGTACATTTAGAATCGTTTCTGTGGTTGTAAATCTGCTGTCAGTGCCATAAATTTGTTTAAATATTATTGTTCATCATCTATATTTACTTCAGAAATAGATCACATTTCAAAATTTAGTTATCGTGATAGGCCTAGTGAAGAATTTATTGAAATTGAATGGAAATTATCATTTGAAATTGTTTGTTGTATATGACCGTTTAACTATAATTGCATTTTACTTTTGTCCTATAGCAGGTATTAATGTAGTCTTCTCGCAAACTTGTTTCAAATAGACAATCTTGGCGTATAAAATACTTACAGATAATATGCAGTATTTGTTCGAAAACCAGCCGTAATCATGAGTGGAAATGTTATTTTTGTCTCTTATCGATTTTATAATGTTCAAGGCCCCACCGTAAATGTGAGCGTGTAATTTTCAATTTGCATTTCATCTGAAAAAGCATACCTCAGGACTCATTAACATAATGAATGCAGCCGTGTTCAGAGGTACGAGTGCTCCAAAGCTCGGGTGAATCATTTCCGTAGTAACAGGCAGGAGGGCTAACCACTCTGCCGGTGTTCTCCCCATCATTATTACCTGATTAATACTCTTACACATAGATATTATCTTTATTCAGGGTGACACTGGCGCATGCAGTGGGTTTTACGATATCTTTGCCCTTTAACCAAGCGGCCGCCAGTTCAAACCTTTGCTTACTGTTGTGAATGAATAAGAAATTGACACACAAACTTATAAAATATTGCAGTTATTGGAATAGCATTTTTTTAATTTGAGTGTATTGTTTGGCTACTTGATGATAACAAAATAAGAACCAAGATTGTTTAATAAATAACTGAAAAAGATTAAACTTTTACTTTTATACATAGTGGGAGCAAATCCCTTTTATTAGGAATGTTTTGAGACACTTTGTTTTCAAAGCTGATGTAGATTAGAAATGTGGCTTTGGTCCAGGTTCAAGCAGCTGAACAAATGCTCTGAACAGAAGGTAATTAATTGTATTAAACATTCTTGTAACAGAATAGATTAATTATTGAAATCGCACTTTTAAGTTTGTTTAATTGCGCAGCTCCAGAGAGTGCACGGCTATTCTGTTATCCATCTTTTAAATGGAGTTATGAATAATTAAAGGTGCACTATGTAACTTTTTGGTTGAGGGTTCATCACCTGCTTTTTTCTGTGAATAAGTTCGCAGCTGGAATGTTCCACAGTATGACATTAAACCACTCTGCAGATGTGGGACCAAGTCGTTGTTTTGCAAGTCTCACCTAAGTCTCAAGTCTTTGACCTCATGTCCAAGTCAAGTCCCAAGTCAAATATAGGCAAGTCCAAGTTGAGTCTCGAGTCACTGACTCATAAGTCCAAGTCAAGTCCAAGTCGTCTTCTTTGAGCTTCAAGTCATTTCAAGTCATTAAAGTACCAAATATAGCTTAGATTTTTGCAATTTATATGAATTTTGAACAAAATTTTACTTAAAAAGTCATGGTATATTTATATATGAATATTTATAGAGTATGTAAGAGTTGGAGAAATGTAAATCTTTCCTTTATAAATGTCTTGACAAGATCTGAGTGAATCATTACAGTCCCAATAGAAAGAAGTCAGATTAAAAAGTGCTTCTCAAGTCTTCTCAAGTCACAGGCCTCAAGTCCAAGTCAAGTGCCAAGTCACTGACCTTCAAGTTCAAGTCGAGTCCCAAGTCTAGTCAAGTCAAGTCTCAAGTCCTAAAAATAGTGACTCAAGTCTGACTCAAGTCCAAGTCACGACTTGTAAGTCTCCACCTCTGCCGCTCTACCTTATATTTATTCAATTACATGTTATTTTTACAGCTCAAAAATACCTAGAAAAACAGACATTCTGACTGTGAGCGGAGTCGCCTCTCCACAGATCTGACCTCCAACTTGGTCTAGTTTGATCTACATGAAGATAGAAAGCTTTAATGCTATACTGTGAAACATTCCAGTCAATAACATCTCCATGGAGAAAAGCATTTGACAGATTTTCCACCGGTAAAGTTGCACCTTTAACTAAAATGCAACTCAAGCCAGTACATTTAGTTAAAAACCAGTGCTTAAACCCAAACGATATTGTACCTCTAATTTAGAAGCTATTTGAGTTCTGCAGGTTGAACTCAAGGTCAATATCTTACAATGGTTTAAATTTAAAACCTCTCGTTAGTGAGAAAACTTTGTCTTAAAAGTAATCCGTGCCTGGAGAATTGGATGGTAGAACAGAGTAAAATACATGGTTTGACTGGTGACAGTTTGACCTCCCTCCTGTACACTGTCCTCTGTCTGTCTGCAGTACAAGGGAACTCTTTTCTAGCTCCTCTGTACTCAGGTCTAAGGGTATTTATAGTGACAGTGTGGGAAGGCTCACTGTACTGTTGAAACGCAGGCTCTAATGAGGCGTCGGTTTTGCTAAAGATTTATTCTTATTGTGAGTGGGATTGCCTCTCCACAGATCTGGCGGCTCCTTTAAAGGTTCACTATGTAACTTTTTGGTTGGGGTCTGTCACCTGCTTGTTTCTATGGAAATGTCATTGCTCTGCCTGGAATGTTCCACACTAAGAAACGGCTCTACCTTATATTTATTGAGTTACAGGCTGTTTTATAGCTCAAAAATACCTAGAAAAACATGCATTCTGACAGTGAGCGGCATCGCCTCTCCGCAGACCTGCCCTGTAACTCGGTATGGTTTGCTCTCCATGAAGATAGAAAGGTTTAATACCATATTGTGAAACATTCCACACAAAGCAATAACATCTCAATGGAGACAAGCATTTGAAGGATCCTCCACCAGAAAAGTTACACAGTGCACTTTTCAGTTACTAATCCAAAGTGAGATTACATTTACACTGAAACAAATCACCGTATCACTGTATCGGAAACTATTTGCCTCCAACCATGTTGTTTCTGTGTTTGCAAGCCTTCCCTATCCACACAGCTTTGAGCATATTTGTTTATGTTTTACAGAAACAAAACTTAAAACCACATGGCTAATTTGCATAAAATGAGCACTCAAAACACAACTCCTTGTGCGCGGGTCAGCTTCTGTCAGACTAAAGGACACGACTCAGTGGGATATATGTATTCTTTCTGTGACAGAGGGGTGTTCTGCTAATGGTGAGTTTGTTCTGTGCAAGTAGTTCTAGCTGTTTCCTGTTTGTCTCTGGTTTGTTTGAACTGTTTTCCACAATAACATCACATGACCAATGTCACGAACCCAGAGAATCAGGAAGGCGCAAATCACAGTGACATGGTCCAATAAGGACGGCAACTATAGCTCATACATCAGCGTATCACCGTTCAGGCATCCGCACGGATCAGATCTGTACTCAGATGAGTTCGTGGGAGCTGGCAGCACCAAATTGTTCAGTTTCTGGAGCCGTTTTCCATCGGATTGGTGTGAACGAACACTGCATCTGCAACAAAAACGACTCAAATACATACTAGTGTGGATGGGACCTGAGACGCTCATTTTTTCTTTTGCTCTCTGCTGATCTTGAACCAAAATCATGTAAACATAAACAGCTTTTATGCCACACATTTCAATTCAACATTTTCTATAGAATCAACAGAACAAGTTTGCTTTCTGAATGCGTTATCCTTTAAGTTCAAATAGTGGTAGAACTTTTTTTCTCGAAGCAGTAAATCCAGCGTTTCATATATTACATAATGCTAAATCAATACTCAGTTCTGCTCCTTGACTTTACGCAGTCTGTAATTTAAAAAAATGAAGGTTAAAGGCTCTATATCTGACTTTCCCGCTTATATGAGCAAAATCTGTCTTATCTCAATGCAGACATATTGCATAAGCAGCTCTTGAGGTCAAAATGTGTCTGCCTCATACTGTCTGCATCCAATTATAAAGCCTTAACTGTTCTATAATCAGGAAGTGCACGTTAGCATGCTAGATGTTGTTAGCTTTACTGTCATGGCAAAACACTGCTCTGGTCTCTGAAAGTTGGGACATCCCTGGTTTGTGTTGGTTGGTAATAATAAAACTGTGAAACGAGTGCGTAATTAAGGAAAATTGTTTTGCACTCAGCTCTAATGTGACTCAGTATAGTTGCATTTTCTTTGTGTTTTGGTCATTTTTTTAAGCAGCTTTTCTGTATTTGACCCAAACAACTGACAATTTATGCCTCTTTTTACTGTTAGCAGGGATCAAATTGGTCAAAAATAGGGACACCTGGGATATTTTGTGTATAAAACTGAGACAAATCACTGGTTTTGGATAAATCTGCTGGGACAGAGGACACAGGGCTCAAAACTGGGACTGTCCCAGGTAAATAGGGACCCTAGGTAAGTGTGGAATAACTTTGAATCACTGCCACCTATTTGAAATTGTAGTTTTGACGGTAAAAGACGACACAGCACCTTTTTAATTCCAAATTGTAAGCCAACTTTTTTGTAAACCCAGCGTTTCAGATTTGACATAACACTACATCTCTACTCCCTGCATTGATATTTACATAGCCTGTATAAAATGTGGACTAAGTTGATTTCTAAGCCAGACTTGTTTGTTTGTTATCCCACAGATACGCGGCTGTGCTCCTCTAGCCCCTGCTCTGCCAACGCCACCTGCATCGAGACAGGTGAGGGGGGCTACCTGTGCGTCTGTCCACACGGATACACGGGGGACTACTGCCACCTGAAGAAGGGCCTGTGTGCGGAGAACAGGTGAGACGCCCTATTTCTACAGGTGTCCCTATGTCTACATGCATTTTTTTTTTTTTTTTTTCTGTATTGGGATGTTCACCAGTTACTACGGAGACACAATGCACACAGTAAAGGGTCTGCGGTTTTCCAGTTTCTGATCTATGTTATAATGTTGTTTCCTCATTACAAGCATACCTGGAGTTTTGTTTTGCTTTCCTACATGTTAAACACACAAACCCTACATATTTAGGCTGAGTTTTTGTCTCAAACATAGAAGGTAGAGCAGAGCATTTTGAGTTTAAAGCTCAAAAGAGTCAGTTTTGCATAGGTTGACCAGACGTCCCTATTTACCCAGGACAGTGCCAGTTTTGTAGCCAGGCTGGTGCCACCTAGTGCCTCCGCTCAATTTCATTTCTCTTCAGCAACTAGGTCAGGAATCAGAATACACTAGACAGTTTGCAAGAATCCCATAAGTTGTAGACCGCGCACCAGCCATCAGTGAAGAGCTGTGAAGCCATGACGTCAAACTCAAGTGGTTGTCTGGGTCACTTTTGTGGTTCAGCACAACAGTAAACAAAGCGGTTGAGATGGATGTAGACAAAGCCAAACGTTCTGTGTTGGCAACGATTCCCAAAATCGAGGATTTAAAGCCAGAACAAAGAGAATGTTTGGTGAATTTTATCAAGGGGAAAGACGTTATTGCCCTTCTTCCTAAGGAATTTGGCACATTACAAATGTCACGACCAAATAGCAGCGATTGGTTAAATAAAAAAAGTTCCCTGTCCACCACTGAGCAAACAAATCGTTATGCTGCGAGGTCAGATGGTTTCCACAAAGTGAAACTGATTGATGAATTCGGCTACCAGTTTTGAGCCCTGTGTCCCCTGTCCCAGCAGATTGATCCAAAACAAATGATTTGTCCTGGTTTTATACAAGAAATGTCCCAGGTGTCCCTATTTTTGACCAATCTGATCCCTGCCAACAGTAAAGAGATGCATAAATTGTCATTTGTTTAGGTAAAATACAGACAATATGTTTAAAAATGACCAAATTGTAGAGACAATGTGACTATACTGACTCACATTAGTGCTGAATGTGTGACAATTTTCCTTAATTACACACTTGTGTCACAATTTTATTATTACCAACCAACACATACCAGAGATGTCTCAGTTTCTTAGTTGGAAAATTTGGTCACCCTAATTACCTTTAACAAATAGAACCAAATAAGTTTTAAGATTGTATGAAAACTGATTTAAACAACACCTTTTCAGGAGCCCATTAGCAATGCGAGCTTTCATGGTCTTGTCTAGGTGTTTTTCAACAAAAAAACTGAAAAAAAAGGATTGTCTTGTGACTGTCATTTTTATGTTTGAAAACCTCATTTAACTGCTAGTTTTAACAAATTGTTCTTTCTTATCAGACTGTGTTAAAATAAAGCTCAGATTAAAGTCTAACAAAACCTCAGACAGAGCATGCCTACAGTTTGCAAAGTATCAATACAGGCTTCAGTGACTCTCAGCTTATAGAGGCGTCCCGTAAAAGGCCCCTGCACTGTTGTTTGCTGTAATTTGAGCTGTTTGCAGATAAAATATGGGGGTGTTTTTCGTTGCCCTGAAGATGTCATTTCAGGTGGATGTAGTCCTCTGTTGTAGTTAATGGGACTCTTCACTGTGTTGTTTTTACACATTAGCTGCAAGCCAGAACAGTATGTCTCATAGAAAGTGACAAATTGGCTTGTAGCACGTAATTTAAAGCTAGTTTGTTGTTCAGGAAGTTGTTGATTTTGTTTTGAAGTTCCTGGCTCGAAGTCAAATGGTCCCAAACATGAAAGGGAAGAGTACAATTAAAATGAGTTGTGTTGAGGTATAGTGTTGAGGTGAAGTTTAAAGGTCTAGTATCTGTCTAGTATCACAACAGATTTGTTTGTTTACTGGAGTTGGAAAAAGCACTACAGGAATGTTTTTTTCAATTAATGCAAAACACTTCAGGTGAATAGAAAAGAAGTCCTTGAAACGTCAATCATAATAAGACTAGGAATTAGATGTCAACAAATCCTTCTGTGAAACTGTTCAAAAACTGTTGGTCCCATATTGTGCTACTTTCTGATCTATGTTTAATGTTTTGTCATCACAAACATACCTGGAGTTGTGTTTTGTTTCATTCACACAGGTTTTAACAAACGAACTGCATATTTAGGCTGAGTTCTTCTCTCATATTGAAAACACTCTGTTCACCTTGTGTTTTTTAATTCCATACACCTTCTACAGAATCATTTGGACTTTTTCAGCCCCGGAATTGCCGATCTCTACTGAACTAAAGGTAAAGAGTAATTTAAACTACCACTTCATGACATCACAAGGTGGAGCAGAGCATGTTGAGCTTGTAAACAGACTAATAATAAAGGGTTATACAAATATGTGTGAATGAACCAAAAGTTGAACCACAACTCCAGGTATGTTTTTGATAATGAACAACTTTCTAACATGGTTTAAGGCTCACAAGACCCACTTTGTGTAATACAGGACCTTCAATAGAACTGAAAAGGTTCATTTATGTTATTAGGTTCTTTTTTCAGACCAAGAGTTTGTTTTTATACCTGACAGTTTCGACTGCTCACTAGCGCTCTTCCTCAGAGTGCTCACGTGATGTTGCTGTGACGTGTCTGGTCAGCTGATTTATACAGGTTTTGGTGCTGTCTTCCTATCAGATGATGCAGGATGACAGCGCCATCTGCAGTCTGACTTTTTCAGGACGCTGGATTAAAGAGGCAATTGAAATACGGATACAGGCACACGGGACTATAAACTGGGAAGAGGGGGCTTTTTAGTCTCACACACCTGGGATATTGTCCTGAAGAAGTCAGACTGGAGATGGAGCTGACTGGACACGTCACAGCAACATCACGTCACCACTCTGAGGAAGAGGGCAAGTGAGCAGTCAGAACTGTCAGGTATGAAAACAGTAGCCTGATTCATTAGAGGTTTCACTTCATAGAAACTGTCTGACCTCGCAGCATTAGAATTTGCTCGACGATATTCGGGTACTTTTGTTCATTTAATCAATTGCTGCTATTTGGTCGCATGTAATGTGCTGCTAACGGGGCTAACTGATATATTAAGCTTTTCCCAAATTCTGTAGGAAGAAGGGCAATATCGTCTTTCCCCTTGATAAAATTCACCAAACATTCTCTTTGTTCCGGCTTTAAATCCTTGATCTCGGGAATTGTTGCCAACACAGAATGTATGGCTTTTCGCTGATTGGCTGGTGCCCGAACTTGCACTTCCGAGGTTCTTGCAAACCATCTAATATATTCTGATTCCTGATCTAGTCACTGGAGAGAAATGAAATTGAATGGAGGAACTAGGTGGTGCCAGCCTGGCTATGAAAACCAGAAAATCAGAAGACCAAATGAACCTCATTGGACTGAAAAGGTTAATGTGTGTAGGTTCTGCTTAAACTTGGGTCAGTGTATGAAGAATGCATGATAGGAAATAGCCTTTGAAATTAGAATTCTCTGAACAAAGCTGAACAAAGAGCAGATTAGGCAGAGCTTGAGTATTGGTGGACATGTTTCTCTCCCTGTTTAGTTTGCACAGACATGACTCTCTCCATCCACACAACATCTACATAGTTTTAAGTCTAGCAGCTTGTAACATTTTATGAGAAATTTTCCTCTTCCCCCGGTAGTGTCCATAAAGCTGGCACACACAACAAACCTGCATATCAGATATTTGAGATGAGCTCTGTAGGGCCAGGATAACGAGCTGTGTTGGGACTTTTCCGTTATTGCTTTGCTAAAAGAATTCTTCTAGTTTTGAGTTAGTAATGGTACAAAATGCTTTCAGTCAAAATGGAGTAGAACTATAGTGAGCGAGATTAATTGAAATTGCAATTTGAATGGACACAATTAGCAAATCGCAAAGGCTGCAGCTTTTTAAGGACCTGAATTTCCTCCACAAACAACACCATCTCCTGTCTTATTCTGTGTAAAAGCTGCTAACCCTGTTGTTCAGATCTGTACAAACTTGAAATGGATTCTCGTATTAGTTTGTCAGTTCATTTTTCAGTCTTTTTGTCAATTCTCCAGGACGATGTTTAAAATGTGAACTGACTCTACTCCTACTACTACTCTATAGCAACCGATACCAGTGCAGGCACTAAAAAATGACTTTATTTTCCTTGTCCACGAATGACAAAGTGTGTTGTGTAGCTGTTCTTTATCCCTCAACAACTTGGTAAAAATAAAAGTTCAAGGACTCTGAATCTTTCTGATACAACAAACAGTAAAAAGTTTGATTACATCGATTTATATGTCCAACCATGATATTGACAGAACCGATATTTTGGAGCCGAAATCCCATACAGCTGATATTCAATACCAGTATCAGCATTGGTGCATCCCTAATCATATTATTTAGAATTTAAGAGTTTATATGGAACAATAGCAGATAGGAGAATGTATGGTGTGTGTTCACTGATGATTTATGAGTTTAATCTGTTTTTTACTTATAAATACAGAGTGTGCTAGTACATTTCTGTGTAAATAGTTGTTTTTGAATGAACTCGAGTGCAATTGTAATCTTGAGAGTGGAGTTTGGGTCAGGTACATGGTCAGATCATGATACAGACCATCCCAAAAAATTTAAATATCATGAAAAAGTTCACTATTTTTTGTCACTTAATTCAGAAAGTGAAACCCGCATAGATTCATGACACAAAGAGTGAAGCTTTCAAGCCTTTATTTCTTGACATTTTGATGATTATGGCTTACAAATTTCTGTGTCTCAGAAAATTAGAACATTAAACTTTCTGAAATGAGAAAAATACTGATTTAATATTGATGTTTTTGTGATAATCCATTTTTTTTAGATGGTCTGTTGTTTTGAGTTTTTTGCATACTAATTGGTTCACAAGGCTTTTTATTCATAGTCGACTACAGCCTTAATTAAAACATAAATCGTAAATCAAAACACAATCACTATTCAGTATTTCTCCCAAATCATTCAGCCTTACTGTTC